AATTTATATACTATATCTATAAACTTATTCAAATATTTCTTCATATCAATAAAGTTGTTCATAAAGTAGTTAGATATATAGATGAAATACATCTATAGATATTTAGAGTTTTAATTGTAAAGTTTGTTTCTTATAAAATATAATATAATTGATCATTTAATGATTTTTATTATTTAATAATTTTACTATCTACTACTTTACAGCTTTATTAAATTGTAAATTTTGAAATAATTATTAATTAAATTATTACTAGCTATTGAATATTAAAAAATATATTATAAATTATATATAAATTAGTATAAAATTTAAGAAAATAAATAAATATTTAACTTAATATTATAACTAAAATAGTATTTTGCTTTTTATAAGAAATAGAGATAAAGAAGTACAGAGTAGTTATTCTGATACTAAATTTGATAAATTTTCTAATAAGTTAGTCTATATAAATTTTGTGAATTTGAATTTAACTATATTTACTTTACATTAACATTTGAGTGACAACTTCAGTATCTTCTCAGCAGTCTTCTATATTTTAGATTTAGCAGCTTCACATACTAATTTGCACTTAGAATTCTTAATAGTTTTTTAATTTTACTGAATAACTTATTGTAGTTAAAGTTCTTATTTATATATATTTTTTATAGATTTTTACTTTTTAGCTCAGTTTTATACTCATGAACTATTATAATCTTACTAGATAAAAAGAATAGAATCTATCTGAATTTTTCTCTATCAAATAGCTTAAAAGAGTTGTTTTTTTTCTACTATTATAGCTCTTTCTAAAATGATTTTTAAGATTATATTTTATGATAGAATGAATTAATTAAAAATAGATTTACTTCATTAGTAGTCTCTAAATCTAACAGAAAAAAACAATAAATACTTAATTAATCTACTTGAAATAGTTTTTAAAATAATTAAAATTGTCTATGATCTGCTGCTTTTAATCAATTGTATATAAATAGATACTTTTTAACTTATTTTTATAATATAGATAAAATCAATTCATTTAGTACTTTTTAATAGATTCTTTACTGAATTCAATCATCAAATTTTGCACTATTTAAGATGTAAAAGCAAGGCTATGATCTGCTAAATGATTAATATGCTGAATAAGTGTTTCTTCTTATGAGTTGATTAACTTTTTATCATATTTTAATATCATATCAGATTTACAAATCTGCTTATCTTTATGCTGCTATGTCAATGTAGTCAGACTGATTTTATATTTAAAGTAGTTTGCTTATAATTTGGAAATTCTTGCAATCTTAAATCTTCAACTGCAAGCTGAATTGCAACTTTGTTGATCATGATGTTGAGATTTAAAGTTGAAGAATTGAAGTAGAATTTATGAAATTTGTTGGGTGGTAGAAATTGTTAGGTGGTCAATCACATTAACTAGGTGAAACCAAACCCTACCCTCTCCTCTCATTTGCTGCCCTCAACCAAATACACATGTATCAACTCTCTTAATCCCCAACATCTTCCCTCCCCTCCTTCAATCCGTGCCCTCTGCAAGACAACCATAATGCCAGGCCAACAATCTATCCAAACCTGCCTACATCTCCCACTCGGGCCCAGCACTGCCCTTCCTTTATCTACCACCGCAACTTCATGCTTTAGCCGCGGTGCCTCTGCTGGTGCACCTCCAATCTGCATCTTTAATCTTCGCTGTAACAACAGGAATCACCCCATCAGTCGCAGCGTTGCCGAGCATAACTATCATGGCCCCCTCATAAAGTGGTGTGTATTTACTCCTGTGAAGATGCGGCCGTCACTGGAGAGGCCGGCGCTGACGATGGTGCGGTCATCTTGTGGGAGGTGGGAGGCGGGTGAAGATTTTGTTTGTGGCGGCGAGGAGGGGGTGCCAGGGTAGATAAGAGTGTGGAAGTGAGATGCGGGTGTGGGTGTGGGTGGCATTTTTGGTTGGTGGTTAGGGTTTATTTTATAGTAGATATTTCTAGTTAGATAGATGGTTTAAGATGGGAGGATCAATTATGTCAACTGGTTGGTTAATGTAACTAATGCATAGGCAGGCCATATACATATATAACTTCTGGATCTGTAGCTAAGCGCCCAGGTGAAGATCACTATATGGAGAAAGTAATCCCAAAGCGATCCCTGACAATCTAGCAGTCAAAACTACAGTTCCTTCACTGCCAGCTCTGGCAGTTATATTGCTCAAAGAAAGTGCATACATGCAATTCTTTCAAAATATAAACTTAACAGTCTTTAATTTCTGTTCCTTATCATTCCCAGCAAGTGCATAACCTATCTGCTAGCTAACTAAATGGGTAAACACTGCAACAATAAGCTCCTCAAACACAAGAAATTCACCAAGCAATTGTATGATGATAAAGAATAATATAACTTACCACTAAATGAGCTGCATTTTTGTGACACACTGCAATTTAATTCTTCAACTTCCCCTACTTCAAGATGTCAAATAAAGAAGCTATTCAACTTGCAATTAAGGATTTAAAAGCTCAAAAAGTTAAAAATTACACTGCAACTGCTAGAAAGCACTTAATTAATAAGAAAACACTATGCTGGCATTATAATGACTTGCAATTCACATAGAATGAAGTAGTCTTCTAATATAAGAAGAAGCTCTCAAATCAGCAAGAACAAATGCTTCTGCTTTATATAGAGAAACTTGCAGCTCATGACTTTGCTTCTGTATCTCAAATCATTTAAAATCTTATTGCAGAAATCATCAAAAAATCTGTTAAAATTCACTGAGTGAGATGTTTTACTGAGTGCTATAAAACTCACATTTAAAGAATTCATGTTCATGACACTGATCAAAAATATAAGATAGCAGATAATTCTACTTACTTTGAGTATTATTTTCAGCTAGTACTTTGATCTTTTGCTTGTTTTCTTGCATTAAGTTCTCTATAGACTCTTGTTAACTATTTTGCTGTATAACTACATAGTTGAATAAGAAGATTAAAAAATATAATATTAAGTTATCAAATATCTACAATTTTGATAAAAAAAGCTTTTTAATTGATATTAGTCAGACTATTAAGTAGATTGTTTCAGTTGAAGCTCTGAAGACAAATTAAATTACAGCAGTTCAAGATGACAGCTATGAATTCATCTCTCTACTCACAGCAATATATGCAGATAAAACAGCTCTTTCATTCACTTTTATTTATTAAGAAGAGTCTCATAATATGTTGGATACATGACTAGAGAATCTGAATGAAAATAATACAGCTTATTTTACAGTTTCTAAAAAATATTAAAATAATGATAACTATAGACTTAATTGACTGTAGTGAATCTTTAATATACACATCAAAATTAAAGCAAATTATAGAAGATATTTTCTTATTCTAAATAAATACTTTTCTTATATTAATATGAGATTTATTAATTTTATAAATTAAAATTGAATTTTTCTTGTAGTACTGTCTTCACATTCAACTTACTGACTTTAATCTTTGAATATTGACATTTTTAGTTCTCTAGCAGAAGTATATTTTTATAATATTAATAATCTTCTTTGCAATGAATTTGAATTTATTTAAATAATAAAATTTTTTTTTTATTAGTCTTTAATTCTCTGTAAGATTAGTCTTTAATAATAAAGAATATTTAATCTTTATTTATTATTATTGATATTTACTCTTTTACTTCTGAGTATATTCTTTACTTATTTACAAAACAGTCTATATCTTTAGTCAATTCAGCTTCAACTGAGATTGCTATATTTATAACTATCTATACTTTTTGATATAATATTAAGAGAATTTGAATTCAGCAGAGTCTGCTCTTTAAAAACATAAAAAAAAAATTATACATACTAGTAAAAAGTTTATCTTTGAAAAAAAGATGCTTGTGCATGAAAATAAGACTTTAATTAAAACTTTATACAATGAAAAGAAGTAATGACAGTATGAAAAGTTCTTAAATCTATTGAATCTGAAGCAGTAGTCTAGTCAGACTCAATTCTTCTCATCATTCAAGATTCAATAAGCTCACAAGAGAATTCAAAAAGTAGATTTTGAAAAAAAGAAAAAAACTGCTCAATAAATACAAAAATAACTTTAATATAATCTTTGAAAAGCACATGAAGCTGAAGAGACTCAGTAAAAATAAATTGAATAATAAACAGCTCAAATAGCAGCTTACAAAGTCTGTGAGAAAGAGAAGACTAGAAAGACAGAGCAGTGTAAAGCTCAGTAGCTTGCTAGAAAGTTTAAAAAAACTCAGCTTGAAGCTAAGAAGTAAGAACAGACTCATACTCATGCTGTAAAGTGAAAATTGATCAGTTCAACTACAGCTGCTTTAATGTGATAGTGAAAGTAAACATTTATAGCAGATTTTAATTCTTTAAACTTTATCTAATTATTCAGTTTGGAAAATGAGATTAATTACAATCTTTCAAAGCAGCTTATTGCTGCTTCTACTACTAATTCAGAAATTGACACTTCTTTGATCAATCTTCTTATTTCATGTTGAGTTTTCTATCATAATTGTGTTCTTCAGTCAAACACACATCTATTTTATAAAATTATCTATTTTGTATGAAACTAGAGAATACTCTTATTACTATTTAATAATCTAATTCATATTTATTTTATTGTTGTGGAATTAATTAGATTCTATCAAATTGAGACAGTTTTGCTAAAAGCAGCTCATTTAGTGATATGACTCATTTAGTAATAAGTCATATTAATGAAGAAGACAAATAGACACAAACACATAAACATTCATATATATAACAATTATACCAAAGCATAAAATATCATATATAAAGTCATACTAGCAAAGCCAAAAACTAAAATTGAAAAAAAAAGGAAAAAAAATCAAAATTAAAATCAAAGATGCAACTCAATGATAAAACATGTAGCGGAGTTGGTTAATGCTTAATTACTATCATAAATATAACACAAATAACTTCATGAAGCAAAGCAAGAAAGCAAAAAGCAAACATATGAGATAAAAAAGACATAGAACTTGTAAGAGGTATAATTCATAATAGCTGCTACGGGTGGTTGGACGACAACAACACACATAAAAAAAAAGGTTTTACTTCATATTCAATGAAAAGAGTGAAGGTTTTTTTATATTTTTTTTTTATGTTACCATCATTTTCATTTGGGTTTCTTCTGTCTTTTTCTGTAACAAACTGCCACCATTCTCCTGTTTCCATCTTGATCCATCGGAATCAGTTTGTCCGATCGTCTCTTTTATGATCTGCGTTCATTTTGTTCCGTTAAAAGTTTTGCCATTTTGAAATCCCAAGTCATATTCTGAAGGTTGTTTCAATTTCGTGTATCCGCGGCAAACTCTCCGTAGAAGATATGATGAGGATTGGTAATATTCGCTTCTTCACCACACTTGTTCTCTGGTAAGAATATAGAGAGAAAAAGAGGGAGCTGCTTCCCTCAAATCCGTTCTGCATAAGAAATAAGAACTCACTTCCCCATTCCAACTTCAGTTCAAGTTCCCCAACATAACCTTCTCTATTCCCATCCCCTACTCTTCGCTAAGCAGTGGCTGGCGTTCACGATCAGCTGTCTCCGCTGGCTCCGCGAGGCTTCGGAAGAAGAAGTCTCTGTTCTTGTATCTGGCGACTGAGGTAGAAAGGGACGTGACGAAGAAAACGGCAAAGATTACAAATGCGAAAATCCACTGGAGCGAGATGATCTTGAGCGAGAACTGCTTGAGGGCAAGGGCTGTGGGGGTTATCTTCTGTTAGTGATACGAATCTGGTAAACACATCATTCAAATCCCGGGAACTTACATAGAGTCAACAAGCTCAAGGCATATCCGTATGCAAAATCACCCCTGTGGGCAATATGTCCCTGGCCAAAGACGAACAGGACCCAGATGAAAATATTAGCCATGATGCTCTTGGCCGTGCTGTCTCCGCCTATAGAAACAGCGCCATTCCAAAAGAGAGTGGATAGAGTCCAGGCATAAGGACCAGCGACTGCTGGGAGGTGAATGTCCAAAGGTAGACCCTGATGCTTCCAATATACAATGCTCTGGCTAATCAGGTTGGCAATGTCGATAATTTCTGCGCCCCAGAAGCGGGATCTGACCCAGAGAAGAATGAAAGTCAAGACGAAAAGGTTGTTTAGGACAAAGAAGCTAGCGACGTTTGCTGCAGCTGTTACTTTTACAGGTTCCGAAGAGAACAAGTTGGCGATGTATCCAAGTTGGGAGATTAGGAGAGTGATCCTGGAAGACAGGTTAGATGCTGATGGTTTATTTTCCCCCCTGCTGCCTTAGGAAATACTAACATGGAATACTGTTAGGAAAAGCGACTTACCAGAAGATTGCAGTCACAACTGAGCTCTGCGAGAACGGGGTGGGGTGCTTCTGTATCTGCTCCCAGACTGTATGTCTGTGGGCGACATCGTCTGGCTTGTGGATGGAATAGAAGATGCCGACAACAACCACTAATAGCCAGGAGAGGGGAGCCAGGACGCGATAAGCATTTAAGGCATTCCTGGTATGGGTCTCCCGTTTCGCAAAGGGGTTGTCTAGTTATTTCATAGGGTGATATATCAATTATCGTAAAATGAGAAGTTGGAAAGGGTATAAGATATATTAACATACAGTGATGTACTATGTCCGCCATTGCTTAATTGGCTGATAAAGGGGTTGTGGTTTATTTCAACAATGCGTGCAGTCAGTCGCGAGTTGAGTGAAGAATGTAAAATGAAAATAAAAATGGCGGGCGCTCGATCAGAGGAGGTCAAGGGCTGGCCTAATAAAAGGAAGTCTTTAAATCAACAGTAAAATCCGAAGAACTGGAATTCGCAAACTGGACCGATTCTAGAGTCCTTGTTGCTGGTTTCGTGACACAGGGGCAAGGCAAGGTACCTTCCGATGACGCAATGTGGAAGTTAACTAGTTACGTGGTAAAGTCAACCTTGGGAGAGAGTCGGAAGCTTGATCATGCAATCAAGGAAGAGTGCGGAGATGAACGATGGGGAGAGATGAACAGGGTCGAGAGAAGAGACGAGGATTGGGATGAAGTTGAGGAGATGAGATGAGGGTTGATGTTTGAATTGGAAATGAGATGAGAAGGAGCAGGAGGAGTAGGAGAGCGAAGGGGAATGGCTTGGGTGAGTTATGTAACGTACCTCATGGATTGACTGCGGGGAAGCTGCGGTTCCCTTATATCTGTATGTACGGGGTTTTGTTGATTATTATATTCCCTTCTCGTACCTGTACATCCTCTGTCAAATCCTCTGTTATTATATAACTATATCATATTTATCATAATTCGTGGGGATGATGGGCCTCATGTGAAGAAAACCTATTAAGAACCCTTAGTTAACCCAAAAACAGAAAGCCGCTAAAGCCAATAGTTGACTAACAGCCTGCATAACATGCCTCATGGTCCCTCCATCCATGGTTCATGGAGCATGCATGGGTGGGTTCCGCAACACCCCCGCATTTTATTGCATCTTATTGTTTTCTGTGGACACAAATTCATTCGGACCCTTTTTTCATCTGCACCTTGAAACTTGAATGAACTCTTGAGGAGTGGATACAGCGGGTAACAGGATTTTATGGTGATTGACGGGCGGAATTTTTTCAGTTTCTAGCCCTTTAAGACCTTAGGTCACTGTTCCTGGTTCCTAGATACTACTGACGGCATCCATAGCCGGAAACAAGAGGTTCTTGGGAAGCAGGGAGCCTTGGAGGCGGAAGTACGAATGTTCGGATGTAAGTGATGGGGATGCATTTTTCACAACCTACGGATGCAGCGGGATGTAGTGGTACTTACAAGCTAAGAAAAGCTAAACCGAGTTGAGAGGGGTCTCGTGGATATCCCATAGGCTGGCATATAGTTATAGGGTTTGTCTTTTATTTGTCTCCTTTTACGTCGAGGTGACAGTGCCAATGTGACTATGGCCAGGGGAGCGAGCTCTTTTGTATCTGTATGTTCAGTTACGAGCACTTTGGATTGACATGACGGGATGTTTATACTCCACTTCATAAACATTCAAGTATACGGTAAGCTTATACTGTAGTTACATACATACCATGTAATATATCTCTATCCTTATATCCTCATCTTCATCTTCGCGTCATCGTTGATCCTTAAAGGATTCTCATCTCCCAATCTCCCTCATCTCCCCCTTTCATAAATAACGACAAAAATGACGTTTTCTCTAGTTGTTGGGAAGTACGGAGTACAAGAGTGCATATTGGCGGGACAATGCATCATTGCATGGATCCGTTGCATAATTTATCCCAACCTAGGTTAGTATAGGCATAGTTGGTGTCTGCTCTTATAGCAGTATTTTGTTTTTGATGATCTGGCGTTAGGCTGCCATGTTACTTTTTCAATAAGTGTCGCAGAAACGGTAGGAAAGGGAATTTGAGGGATGGCAGGAAGATGTCATGATAATAATGCCAATACTTCAAAATTTGATAACTCAGCTCGAATTATTCAGATAAAGTGTATATTAAACTCCATGCATTCTATTTATTCGACTCCTATTGATTGATTGTATCATTTGTCAAAAAAATAAAATAAAATAAAAAAAAAAAAAAAAAAAAAAAAAAGAAGAAGAAGAAGAAGAAGAAGAAGAAAGAAAGAAAAAAGAAGAAAAAAGAAAAAGAAAAAAGAAAAGAAAAAGAAAAAGAAAAAAGAAAAAAAAAAGAAAGAGAAAAAGAAAGAAATGAGAGTGAGTTCCTGTTGTTAGGTATTTCATTCATGCTCAGTGTCACCTCTGCATCACATTGTCTTTCTAGGAGGAAACGCTGAAGCTCTTGTTCTTGTCTATTAATAAAAGGGTTTAAACAGTATGTGAAGAATTTTTTTTTTAAGGCGGTGGACATGTTTGAGAACTCCCAGGGTTGCAAGCGTATATGCGCCATGTCACTTCTAACACTTTAGTGCCATTGGACTTTTGTTGTGGAATGGATGACCCTGAGTCATGTCTCAGGTTGGGGTGATGCGAAGAAGTCTGATTATTGCTTTTTGTTTCTGTAGTTGTCAACGATGTGCCCATGACATTATGTGTTTGTATGCATCCCTGTAGATCATGTGCCATAATCCACTTTCAGAGTGCCTGTGAGAATGTTGGGAGGGTCTTCCTTCCAGTCATCATAGGGAATGGATAAAAGTAATTTGAAGAGAAGGAAATCATGTAAATATCTATACTCTAGGTAGGGTTTGTGTTTTGGTTTATAGCTCAGCGAATGCAAGCTCATAAACTAGACCCAGGGTCATCTTAGCATGCTGCAGCATGTGGTCGAAGTCGAGATACTCGACCGTATCCCACATGGTGTGGATTCGTTGACTCGAATGCTCGAATTTCGACTCGATCACGAAGGCGGATGGGTAGCCGTATCGACTGGCCGAGGCGTGGTCGGAGCACGCATAGCCGCACTTTGTAAGGACGAAAGGGATGTCGCAGTACTGTTTTGTTTAAAGAAAAAAGAGGAAATCATTTAGTGATTTACTTAAATAGAATTATGTTTTCTTATCTGAAATGTGAGCAATGAACTTACCCCTGTTACGACCTTCATGATAAACTCGGTCAATCCAGAATGAACGTAGTCCGTAATCACACCCACAGACTCTTGTTCACCGGCATCAAGGGTCCCCTGAGAATACCCAGTCATGTCCTGCTGAAGCATGGACTTGATATCCCTATTTTCGTTCTTGTACTTGGAGAACACAGCCTGGGAACCCAGCAAGCCGGCTTCCTCAGCAGAATACCAATGGAACTCAATCGTGTTTGTCGCATTTCCCTGCGCAACCGCGTCTGACTGAAGAAGGACACGAAGAGCTTCAAGGATAGTTACTGTTCCGCTGCCGTCGTCATCTGCACCGGGAGCTGCCATGATCGTCGGCAGGTACATGTTGATGCTGTCCTGATGCGCACCGACTACCACAGTTTTATTAGTCCGGCCAGGGATGCTGGCGATGATGCTGAACTGGCTCCACGAATGGTTGAACGTCTCAACCTTCGCTCCATACTTGACTGCTAAAGAATTATTGACAGTCTGCTGCACCTGCTCGAACAACCAGGTCGCTGATTGTGTGCCGGCCGTGGATTTGTAGTATCTCGTGTGGAAAGAGGTGAAGTTGGTTAAATGGTTGAACATGTTTTCTTTTGATAGTTGCGATGCTAATTGTTTGACTTCGGCTGTTCGATTAAGTTCGCTTGGGAAGTTAACAACGGCTGGTGTGGGGAATACCTTGGGGAGGAAACCCTGCTCGACCTCGGCGGTGATATCGAAGAATTTGAGGCCCTCCTATTGTAGCGGGGAAAGATACAGTAGATCAGCAACAACTTCATGTCAAGTGCATGTTGTAGAAGCCATATAGAGACCAGATATTGAAAAAAAACGTACCCGTTTCAGCTCCCATTTCTCGTCCTCCGTAACCCATCGAGTATCGCCGGGAGCGAGCTCAATCAGGAACTTCTCAGGGAGTTCATCCTTCTTCGCGTCGTTTAGGGGTACTTGATCTGGAGCAATCGCTGCCAAAACCATTGTCGAAGCTGCGACACCCAGGGTGAGCAAGGCAGGGAGCTTCATTGTTTTCGGAGACCACTGATGCAATCTTGCAGGGAATGATATTGGATGTTGTGGCAGGTATACAAGTCGTTAAAGAACGAGAATGAAATAAGGCTAGAAAATATAGATGGGGATGAGATATGTTGAAGTATTGGATAGGATGATGGAGATAAGGCGGATATTCAGGTTGAGGGGGAGGAGGATGTTTGTTGTGTGAAGGATAGATTGCTTGATTGATTATGAAGCGATCGCTAGCTACGGGGAAGTTATATATGGTGCGGATTACGTAAGAAGGCGGATAGGCCTGACATGTTGCTGATTTATTCCGTATGTTACTGACTGGAGCTGGTGCAAGGGCGACGATGATGATGATGATGATGATGAAAATGACTTCCAAGTTACGTAGTTTGTCCATCCAGTCAAGGCTTGACTAAAGTTTAACTATCAAAAGAAGGATTCCAGGCGTTCACCCTTCAGTGCTAACTTTATATTATATAAGCTAGCCGGTCTATATTTCGACCAGACCCTTTTTCGACCACCTTATCCAAAGTAACCACCCTTTCTATTTTGGGTAAATATTTAACTACAAATTCAATCTAATTGCCATTCAAACATGCAGGCTTCCAGACCTGCTGCTAAAGCTGCTGCTGCTGCTTTTTTAGCCTCAATTTCTGGCTTCTGTAGTTGTTTTCTAGCCTCTAGAGCAGCAGTTTTCTCTTGAGCCTTCTTAATCTTTTCTATATTGATAAACTGAGTATTTAGATCAACTTTTACCTTCTTTTTGATTTTTGACTGCTATAGGGTCTCTAGTTGATTAGAGAGTTTAAAAATTGTAGACTGACTGACAGCTTGTAGAGCATTCAACTCATCAATCATCTTGCTAGCTTTGCAAAGAAAAACTCACTGCTTTCTTGTAAGAATTCTCTTTTTATTCAACTGCTGTAGAGTCTTATATATATGTCTAGAATCTCAAAGAGCTATAAGCAAGAAATCTTGTAGTTCAGAAGATAGAGAGGTTGTAGATGTCACTGATCTAGAATTAAATTGACTTTGATCTTGAATCTGAGAGAAATTTAATTCTTTAAAAGATTTAAATGGCACTAAACCAGCTGCTTTCCACAATCTATATATATTATAAGATTCTAAGGCCTTTGAATGTGCTTGTTCATAGACTTATATAAATCTTCTTTTCTTCACAGAAGCTGCATCATTCAGATAACTTAAGACAATGATCTCAACTCTATAGTAGCTTTTCATAGATAAAAACACTTCAAGATTCAATAGCTGAAGAACATGAGATATATGAGCAAATAGAAACACTAAATGAATCAAATTTATATGACATTTTTATAGAAATTTAATAGTGATGTGACTGCTTTGATCATTCAACACTAATAATATATACTGACCTTTCTTAAACATTTGAAGTAGAAAAATCATACATAACCAGTTGAGATATATATTATTTGATATCTATTCATTATCTGATATTGTATAGGTCTAATTGGATATATTCATATCCTCAAACCAGCTAGATTATACATTTTAACCTTGAAAAATAACTAGAAGGTCTATATAGTACTCATCAGCGCTAATAACTTCAATAATTGAAACTCACTTGTGATTAGAGAGAGATTTAATATAGATTTTACCTTTTCTTTACTCAGCAAGCACTCTGATGTTCATATATACTACTAAAGCAATATCATACTTATTCATATTTCACATATTTTTAATGACTATCTTATGAGTCTGTTGTGTCTCAAAAAAGTAGTTATAGAACTGCTGAAGTGTTCTCTGCTGAGTATTCTCTATTCTTTGAGACTCAATCTTTAGTCAATCATAGATCTTATTATATAATTTCATTTTAAAAACTTTTTTATTCAATTCTTACTCAGCTGAGTGAGATATTAACTTATTTATAAAATTTGAGTCATTATTTCTCATACACATATATGAGAGGATGTAAATTCTTATGAATCTTGCTCTTTAATTTATTGAACTAGAAAGATCTCTTGCTTTAAAGTCAACTTTTGTCAATGTTGATGAGCAATTGCTTATTGAATGGAATCATTCTTTCTGCTCTTCAATATGCTTCATAAGATGTTATATGCTTTAGCAGCAGCTTGTTCAGATTGAAAAATATCATTTTTTAAATTCTCTATAGCAGCAGCTATAGCAGCTTTGTTATTAGACTTCATTTTAATAATATGGTTGAGAAAACACGTGGTAAAGATAATGAGTTAGGTTTAAATAGAGTGGTTGAAAAAGAATCTGGTCAAAATATAGATCAACTAGCTTAGTATAAATAAAAATTAAATATACTCTTCAATAAAAATAAAATAAGCAATTTCTCAGATATATTCTTTACTAGAAAATTTCTGATATCACGCACACTTAGAGAAGTTAGCTATTAATAGATTTGAGTATAGTGTATTTTTGTGCATGTAATTTGACTTAGCTATGCTAACTAACTATTAGTTAACTAGTTAGTTAGTTAGCTAACTAGTTAGTTAACTAATTGCTGGTAACTCACTTAATCAGATCACATTATATTTTCTATGTTTAATAATTACCGCGCTGCCACGTAACTCTTTATAATAATGAAATTGAATATGATATGCTGATTTTTCCACTTAACATAATCAATAGATTAGTCAGTCATATAAGCAAGTTGATCACTTTTCATCTCATCTCAGAACAACATCTTTATCATCAAAAATGCCAATCACATAAAGAAATAAAGTTTTTACTCAAGAAAAAAGGCTTCTTTTAGTCATTCAAATATTTAAAAATGATTAAATTTCAAGTATATAAGCTACATCAAAGCTATATGATTTTCTACATTTCATCTTAGATGATCAGATACATGATCATATAGCATGCATTAACACTTTCTCAAAGAATCAAAAACTTAGTCTTACAGAGAAAAAATCTCTTATTCAATGAATTTTAATCATAAATGAGTGAGATCTATCATTCTGAGTTGCAGTTATATGAGAAATGATTAACCTCCTCCTTACCAGTCAGAGATTCAACCTCACAATTACAGTGAGTGAATGCTAAATATGAAACTTTGTCAAACATCATGAAGAGCTGAAATTCAAGTTCTCCCATAAGTATAATTATCAATGTACACTATGTGAAAATTCTAAGATTACCTATAAGTGATTTAGACTTGTACAAAATATTATTGCAAAGTATGAGATTCTGAAAGATGATATCTATAACTTTAATAAGACTGAATTTGAAATGAGAGTTATTGAGACTATCAGAGTAATTACTGAATTTGAAAGAATCAGAAATCTCAAATTTATACAGTCTGAAGATTGAGAATGAATGACTGTCATTACTGAAGTCAATATCTGTGACTGAGCTCTGTGTACAATGATTATTCTTAAGAGAAAGATGCATCATTTCTATTAATAAGAAACTGAGAGACTGTTCAGAGATTAAAGTTAGTGAGAATGACTAGATAAATAATCAGCTAGACTTATACTGACTGAAAGAGATGTTCAATAAGAAGATCTTATTCTATATGAAGAGTACACACTGACTGTTGACTTTGGACTGGTATAGAAGTCATATTTCTATTGAATTTAATCAATTCTGCTCTGAGAATCAGATCATTGCTCTCTATATGTCATCTCATTCCTCTCATCTTCTTTAGTCATTGAATGTTAACTGCTTCTTCTCTCTGAAAACAGTATACAGACAACAGATGAAGAATCAGATGCAGCTTAAGATCAATCATATTAACAACAGAAAGTTTCTGACCCTATATTCTGCAGCTCAGATGCAGGCTCTGACTGAAAACAACATCAAAAATGACTTCAGAGCAGCTGAATTGATTCTATACAACTCTGAGTAGATTTTCTCACATCTTAATATAACAATACATACTCTCATTCTCTCTGAAATCTCTCATAGCTTTTAGACCTCCTGGGCCACTGCCATATTACATAATGTATATCAATTGAAGCAGCAGACTAAGAAGGTCAAAAAATATATCATGTACTGTACACATAGTCCACTCAGTTCAAGCAATCAAGCTCTGAGTCAGCTGATCAAGAAGTGTCAAATGACAATGCACAGTATTGCTATTCTAGCAACTGAAAATGAAGAGTTAAAAGCTGCAAATGCTAAACAAAAGAAGAAGTGAGAAAGAAACTATACATATATAGCTCAAAAAAGTGCTTTAGAGGTTGAAGAAGGCTTGAATCACATATAAAGCATCAATGAATGAAAAAGAGAGGTGATTGAAACTGCTGAGTTCTGATCACAAAAACAGATAGCATCACAATATAGTATATGTGGAATTACTAAGCATACTGCTCATACATGCTCTAGGCATATAGAAAATAATTGATAATATAATTCTTTCTTTTTTTCTTTATGATTAAGGCATAAATGCATTCTCATCATATAGTGGGTGAGAAGTGATCAACTTGCTTATGTGGTCGACTTGCTTATTGATTATGTTATGTTCAATGTATGACAAATGGTTCCTTCTTCGTATATCCGCGACCACGTTGCCTGGTGCTAGTTAAAATCACGATGGAAACGGGTGTGGTAAGTAAACCGCTGGAAATGCCACTGGGATGTTGGTAAACACCCTCCTGAAATCCCTTCTGCTTGAGATAATTATTTATCAAAAATTGGCCTGCATTAAAGCATATTTGACCAAGTATAACGTAATCAACCACTCAACGCCCGTTTACACCCAATGCCTACTCAAATCTTCATTTTTCATTTATCTTTAACCACTCACAACATGCATCATGAAGCAGTTATACAAGCTGTAATTAATGATTTGAATGCACAATTAACACCTAATTACACTGAGACCACTAAAAAATATAGAATCAGCTGATATATATTATCAAGGTATTATAGAGGTATTCAAATGTCAAGAAAAAAAGCAAGCTCTATCCACTGCAAAGCTCTCACTGATTCACAAGAAAAATGACTTCTTTTTCATATTAATCAATTAGCAGATCATGGTTTTTTTTGTACATCTCAAATTCTTTATAATCTTGTTGTTGAGATTCTAAAAGCATCTATTGAAGTCAATTAAATGACTCAGTTCTGCAAGCATCACAAAAATGTGATGAAGTCATTCTATTTATGAAATATTGATTAAAAACACAAGATTGCAGATAATTCTGCATACTTCAAGCATTATTTTAATCTTGTAATAGATTTCTTTCTTATACTGCTTTTTTAATTCTTATCTTGCTAACTTATATTAATTTTTTAGCTGTAAACAAAACTCACAAAATATAATCTTGAATCTATGAATATCTACAACTTTGATAACAAAGAATTTCTATTAAAATTTATTTATACTCTCAAACATATTGTATTGATTAATTCACTCAAATTGAGTCATATGATAGATGTCAGTCAGAATGACAGTTTAGAATTCATAATACTACTTGTCTCAATTTGTGCAGATGGAACTTCATTTTCATTTGCTCTCATATATCAAGAGAAATCAAGAGATATATAAGATACTTCACTTGAAGATTTTAATAGTGAAAAGAATCAGATCTACTTCACTGCTGCAGAAAATAATTAAAGTAATAATGAATATAAGTTAACATGATTAAAGAAGATCTTTGAACCTCTTACAAAAAAAAAGACAGATTATAGATATAGATTTTTTATATTGAATGACCACTCATTCTATGTTAATATGATATTTATCAATTATGCAGATCAGAATTGAATTCTACTTACTGTCTTTTCTTCTCATTCTACACACTGATTACAGCTACTAGATGTTGGAATATTTGAATTATTGAGTAAATCATATTCCAAACAACTGAATAAACAAATAAGAACTGGAATGGAATTTATACACACTATAAAGAGGTCTTTTTGGCAGCTTTTTGACACTGCATAGAAGAAGGCAGTTATATCTTCAAATATTGAAGCTGCATTTACTACTACTGGTCTATATTCATTCAATTCAGAACACATTCTTAAAAAGCTTCAAATATGATCTTGCATCTTCTCTGACACAATATATCAATCAAGAACATCTACTTCTATTGTTGATCTATGGAAATTAATGAAGCAAGTCAAGCAACAGCAGCATCAAATATCTAATGATCTCAATCAGATAATCTGTGCAGGAGAAAATCTTGCTCTTGATAAAGAGATTCTTTTAATAGAGAATTAGCAGCTTTAAAAAACTCTTAATCAAGAAGATGTCATAAGCATGACAGAGCAATGATATTACTATATTTCTTGAATTCATCATTGATGCAGTTCTTCTCATCAGCAAAGATGCAGAGCATCTGCAAGAATTTGATGATCTTAGAGATTGTCAAAAAGAATGAGCAAGCTTATAAGAAGAATGCAAAGCTGCAACATACTATTCTTAAGAAACAGAAGAAGACAGATATCATCTAGCAGAGAATGAAGTAGAAGACAGCTTATCAGATTATAAAACAGCAAAAGAAAATAAATAAAACTGCAAGAACTGCTCAACAGCAGATTGACAAGAAGCTTAGAGATGAGAAAAAGACTCAGAAGCAAAAGAAAAAGAAAGAACAAGCTGCTGTACAGCTACAATCATAATTAAATAAGAAAATGATTGAAGAATTCAAAAATCACCTTTCTAATCAGGAAAGTAGACTCTTGATTTCACAAAAAGTGACTAAATCACATTTTCAGAGCTCTGTCAGAGTGCCCACAGATCTACTGTCAGAGGGATATGATGATATTGCAATCTCTACTGATTTAATGACTGCTTGCTTACTGAATCTGCTTCAATCTAAGATTTCACATTTCAGATGAGTTATTAAGTCAAACAAACATTTACTGAATTAGCTATATATTTTTATATGTAATTTTCTATATATATTTTCATCCTATAATATATCATCTTAAAATCTAATTGTGTTGTTGAAATAACATTGAAAATATTTCATCATAGTGATGGCGAAATGGCGGGCGTTGGGTGTAAACGGGCGTTGGGTGGTGGATTACGTTAGTCATTTGGGATATTGCATCAACTCTGGTATCAAATGCCTTTTGTTGATCTGATCACCTGCAGCTATCAGTTCAGAATGAATTTGTTAGAAGCCTTGTAGCGTCTAAATGAATGGATTCAGGATATATCTCAATAATTAATCCTAAACAGCTCATAGAACAATTTTCCTTTTTCCAGTCTCATGTTTCGAGAAGTTCCAACAGTCGTTCTTCTGCAATGAGCTCTTGTGTAGAACCCCAGCTCAAGCCTAGGTGAGTTGGTCCCAATGACGTCTTTAAATGTTGGTCGATCACAAGAGTAACCACAGTGGTAAGTTGTAGTTCTCCCGAGTGGTCATTTGATTGATTTGACTTAATGCGGTGATATCAACATCCCATATAGAGGTTCAGAGGAAGCTGGACCTTCAAGGACGCTGAAATAGAAAGATAAACAGTTTCTCCTCAACAGCTTTGAGAAGCATACAGATAACCGTATTTGAAATGGGTGGGATCCGAAGGATCCCAGGTTTCTGCTGCGGAAAGATTGAAATTCCCACAGTGGGACAACGGGTACAGAAATCAGGTTCCAATTATCCCTAATGTGACACTGCAAGAAGTAGTTGGAGGTGGTTGAAGGAAACCCTATAAGTTTCGGGCATTGCATTGCATCAACGGGTTCCAGGCCAGATGCAGAAGGCTCATTGTAAGAGTATGCGGTGCCACTCATCATTATCCATGGATAATCTGTAAGGAAACATTCAAAAATGGATTAATGTAATCAATCACCTACCGGATCACCCCCATCATTCTATCGGACAAAATTTCAAATTAAGCAATAACCACAAGGAATTCTATATAGAAATTATACAGGATAGACACTTAGATTTGTTGACACTGCTTAATATTATGTCCAGGTGTATTACACTTGCTGCAGGTTAAGTGTCTTTACTTTCTAGTCCCTGGGTTCAAATCTTCAATTCCTTCCTCCATATGTTGATCAGGCTTCTGAGGTCTAGCCGTCCTAGCTAATGCATCTTGAGCTGTTAAGATTCCTTTCTTAGCTATATAAAAATGTAATTTCTCTCTCTTTCACTTCTGTTTGATGTTGGCAGCTCTCAGCTTTGTGTTTTCCTTTGCTAATATAGCAGTACTATATATGGCCAGCTGATATTTCTTTATTAATTGATCAAGAGCTTGGTTGATAGGACTAGAAAGAATCTCAATATGACATTTAATCATGCTGCTCTACAGCTCCAACTGAGTCATATTGCAGAATGTCTTAGAAGTTCAGAAAAGCTAAGATTCATACACTGACCCTGGGAAGAAAGGCGTATGAAATTAATTATATAGTTGCATAAAAACCTTGTCTAAATTGTATGGCGCTAGACCTATGACTTTGAATTCATTTTTTATAATAGTGTCCTTTATGATCTTCTGTCTAGCTGCTATGTAGCTAACTAAAAATTTCTTTTTATCAATATGATTGATTTCTAGTCATATGCTTTGCTCCATCTTCTTGTTATATACTTTCTTCAATAATAAAAAGCAGCTCACATCTACTAGCTGCAGTAGATGAGAGAAGTGAGAAGACATATATAATGCTATAATGTTATAATTCAAATAGAACTTGTTAAATTTGACTGTGACATAACTATTATATTTATTCAGAATCAGCAGTCTCTTTTTGTCAATTGTATAAGCCTTAGTAGATCTATTGAATATCTTTCATAGTCATGTCAAATCAAGCTCATCTGTGGTTCAACTCTTCTCACTAATATCAATTGTCCAGTTCTTTGGCAGTTGCTCATATCATAATAATTGATGATGCTTGTTAGGGTGCGAATGCGAGCTGCATAAGGAAACTCTATGCGTTGCTAACTGCTATGTAACCGAATACTAAGCTTGATGGGACGAAAGGGGCATAACAACCTGCATGGTCGCATGGTCACATGATGAGGATTAGGCGTAATCGGGCGACACGCATGGTCGCTGGTCACGTGATGAGGGTTAGGCCTAATCGGGCGCCGGGCCTCGGTCGGGCTCAGTCGGCCTAACAATGCTTGCTCTTTAATATAATTATCAGAGATAGAGTTCAGTCTATAGCATTGACTGGTTCAATCACAGTTGCTCATTCACTATTCTCTGACTATATAAGAGATGACTTATTATCTTTCTCAGCTCTAGTGACCACTCTGGCTATTGAGATAATTCTCATCAAAAAGTTAATCTTATTAAAGTTGTAAATATTCTTTAGTATAATTTTATACTTCTGTATTATATGATTTATCAAAATAAATCATTTATATAGAATCTTTGAATCCTTATACTGAGCTCACTAATAATTGTATTTATATGAGAACTTTGTTTTTAGTTCAGAATATTAGTGTATAAATTTATTGATTTGATATTTTTCTACAATAGTAAAAGTACTGAATCTATATTTTTTAAGTGATAGATTGACTATTTCTTATGTATTTATAATTCAAAGTAGCTATTCTCACTTATTCATAAAGATTATTTATTCAACTAGAGGTTCTTCTTCTCTAGAGATCAGTTTTCAATTCTTCAATTGAGCATTCATATATATGATTTGATTATATAATTTATAGATTAAAAAAAAATAGATTATTATTATTATTATTCTTTATCTATAATATACTCAATCAGTAATTATGATATCTATTTAGTAAAAACTAAAATTTAACTATTTTATTAATTTAACTATTAAATAGTAATTAATCTATATAATTATAGAGTTTTATTTCAAAATAATATAGTATTTAATAATCTTTTTACAAAAGATATATTTATAGTTTTAATTTTAATCTATTTTCTTTTTTAACTTAAATAAAATAAAGTAAAAACAATAAACTTAATATAAAAAAAAATTTAATAAAAATATTCTTGAAAATATTTTCAGCTATTTTATAAATTAAATATTAAATTTATTTGATATTAAATTTTATTCTCTAGAGATAATTTTTATTCTCTTAATAAATTCAATTATAATCATTCTTTTTAATTTAGTATTAAATAAAAAAAATTATATTTAATTAATTAATTAAATATTTCTCTTTTAATTTCTTTCTTATCTTAATATTTAATAAGTAATTCATTAGTATATAATTTAAACTTTTATCTATAACACAGAAATCATATTTATCAAACTTCAAAAAATCTTTAAATCTTTTTATATATGATTTAAAGTAGCTATATCTAAGTTTCAATTATATTATAAAGAAAAATATTAAAAAATTAAAATCAAATCTAAAGTAATGATGTACTTTAGAAAGAGTTTAAAATTTTCATTCAATTTGATATATGATATAGTTTTATATTTAGATATTCTAGTTAATAATATTATAGATAAATTTAATTAAGTTAAATTTATTTAGCTAGTTAATATCTATAATAAAAAATTATTACAAGAAAATAATAATAGCTGAATAGTGAATAGAGCTCTTTTTAACTTATCAGTAAATAAATAATTAATTATAAATAAAGATTTTAATTCTCATCACTCATAGTGAAATGATAACTGCATTCAGTCTATAAGAGTAGACAAATTGATAGATTGACTGATCTTGAAAGAATTTAATTTAATTAATAAATTTGATAAAAAAATATACTATAAATAAAATCTATTAAAAAAGTTAATTATATATCTAATCTTTTTATCAAAAAATTCTTGTTTTAATTAAATAGATATTATAATTACTGACTAAATATATCTTAAATAAGAAATAATAATAATAATAATAATAATAATAATAATAATAATAATAATAATATAGTTATCATATTCTTGTAAGTTAATAATAGTGATGAAATATATCAGTATAAATGACACAGTATTGAAGTTATTGATTATAATAAAATTAAAAATTTATCTAGAAGATTGATATATATACTTTAATCTATCTAATAATTACATCATTACTATATATAACACCAGCTTCTCAAATGATGTGATTGAATTTGAATGTATAAAACATTTAAATACTACTATTAAAATATATCAGATTAGTAGTTATTAATTATTACTATTTGATAATTATGAATTTCATCTTACTGAAGACTTTTTTCAATATTATAACTTTATAATATTATTATATTTAAATTTTCATCTTATATAAGTCATTTATTGCAATTTCTTAATGATATATCTTTTTAGTAATATAAGTATTATTATATAAAAGCAGTTAATAAGATCATTCAATATGAATATGAGCAATATGATAAATAATAGTTTCTTGCTAATTAAGAGAGTATCTGTAATCAAATCTTCAAATCTACTATCATTAGAGTTAATTTTACTAATTATAAAATATATTTAATTAAATAAAAAGAAATTCTTCAATATTTGAGATAATATAATATAAATAATAGTTTGAAGCTACTTATCTATTACAGTGATAATGAAGAATACTTTAATTTTATCTTAATTTCTGAAATCTAACTCTTTATTATATCTTCTCAGTTGACATTTTCAGATATAATTGTAAAATTATGTTATTAAATTGAGACAGCAAATAAGATTTTACAAAAGATGAAAAATACTCTGATATCTGATCTAATCTAGTAATTGAATAAGATTATTAAAAGAAATCTGATACAGACAGAATTAAATATATATTGAGAGAATGAGTTATCTGTTTATTATATAATGAATAAATACTAAATTGTTAAAAAAACCACAGGCAGATTCAGATAGAGAATGTTCTCATTATTAAAAATATCAATTACAAGATTACATATTATAAGTAGAAGGAATTAAGAAAAGAAAAAAATAAAGCTCTATAGTCAATTGGAATCAAAGTTCTCAAATCTAATGTCAATCAATCACAATGTGATATTATTAATGAATCTCAATCAACTGGAGATTTTATATATTCTTGTAAGTATATAGACAATCTTTATATTATAGATAGACATGATATTGATTATTAATTAATTTTGAAGAGTGATAATCCTAGAATATTTCAATTATGATATTTCCTTTATAGTAAGGCGCACTTACTATGGGAGGTAGTGAGTGCGTGTGGCACAGTTGGTTGATAAATGATTTACAGTGTATTGTGAGAGGTTTGTTCTGGCTAGAAAGAGGTCAGTTCACATGGTGAGGTTGGGCCAAGTCTTTTAGTGAAGTTAACTCATCTACATCCTGTTGCGGTGGGGCGATGAGGAGCCCCTGTTTCCTGTCTGACTAAGCGGGCAGTCTGGTTGTCGTAGCAACGGCGCCGTTTACCAACAAACGCTGCAATCCGATATCTGATCTGATAACAGACCGTTTCTTCAACACTAACCCACCTCCAGACATCCCACCCACGGTCTACGGAGTACAACAACAGTCTTTCTCCTACATGCTTCAGGCTGCACACTGCAGGGCTCTAGTGCTGTAATTAGTCGTGCTCATTCTTTTGGAAAATCACCATCCATATGTGATTCCTTCGTCCGTTGTATAGCTTCTACAACCGTTAACCAACCCTCCGACGTCGTGTTTGGCGCTCGTTTGTTTACACTCCTCTACCACTGGAGCAATTGACTTGACGGACTTTTGACGTGTAACCGCAGCTTTTGGTAATCTACCTCTTTTGAATAAATCTTCTCATTCCCTGAGTCGCAATTCACCTACTGATAGATTATACAGTTTCTGAAGCTCGCTGTGATCGTCTTAAAGACTTCTGCCGCTCGCTTGGTTTTTGACATTCACCCAGCTCTCGAGTCAACGAAAATAGCAGAATTATTCACCATTCATTTCTTTTCCACCAATGTTTGCTGCTTCAAAACCCGAGATCCGCCATACTATAAAAGTCTGCGAGCGCTTCAACTCTTTTATACTCTTAGAGCCAAACTATCATCCTCTGATACTAAGTATTTGATATTATATTTATATAGAGTGATACACCAAAGCTCCAGTTGCTGTTAAATGCAAGGAATAAATACGGAATAAACACGGAATAAACAAGCGGCAATGGAGCCGTTTTCATCCCCGCAAGGGAGATCAGCAGCCCCAACATACGATGAAGAACCCCCGTTGTACGCATATCCAGGTGAACCTTCTGTTCTGAATGATACCGACCGTGAGACTACCTCAGCTCCTGGAAGTGCACGAAATGACCCCTCAGCCATGAGACTTCTACCAGGTGGTGGAACTAATTTAGGCAGCGCTGGTGAGGACCCATCCGATTTGGGGAGTGCAGGAAGATTCAGACGGCATCCAAATATGCCTCAACGTCAGCAGTATGTGTCTCTGGGAAATGGCCCTCACTCCTATACTATTCCCTCTTTTATACTTTTACCCGGAAATGCTTCTCTACGCTCTGTGATGGCAGACAAAGCCGAAGAGCCTTCCAAGAAGACTCAAGATGAGGCCCCCATGCTGTTAGGACATAAGGCTTCAGCTGGGGACGAGTCGAGCACCCTTCTAATTGCATCGCCATCATCACGACCAGCCACTAGCACAAAACAATTACATGTCACCTGGGAGGATGAATCTACAAAGCAAGAAAGCAACTCTACCCAGAGCAAGCTAGCCAGGACCAAAACCATTTGCCGCAGAAAGCCACAGGACTCCGCGATGATTCCTGACCCCCTGCGCCTTGCTTCACCCAAAACCCCGGCCCATATATTACCCAAACTCCCAAATACTCTCTCCAAGTCAATTACACTATCATGTTTAGATAAACATATAATGGCCCAAGAATCTTCTAATATGGATCAATCCAAATCGGATAATGTGACTGACAATAAGCCTAATAGAAGCCTCATATCTATGGCCCGACCGTCACCCCAGCGATGCCATCCTCTGCACCAACAATCCGCATCCACCTCATCTCTCCCAACCTCACGACCCTCGTCCAGTCCTGGGCAGTCACCAAACATAACCCCATCAATCCTCACATCTGACACTCTACACCTTCCCGCTCGATCGGTGTCACCAACCCGGCCTTGGACCCCCTCGCGGGGTTCGGAATGGTCACGCCCACATGCCCCTTCTGTATCAAGTGTAAATTATGAGCCTCCAGAAATCAATTGTAGCCCAAGACCTGGAACCCCAAGCTCGAAGTATGGAGGAAGCCCCCGACGGCCACTGCCGCCAGCCCCGTTGTTTGCTGGGCCACCAGCATCATCAGCAGGAGAAACGAGCATTGACATTGCTGATGGAGGTGACGATAGTGAGGACCCCTTTGTGGTAGGTGAGAGAACGGTACATCAAAGAAGTAACACACGCTCAAGTATCAAATCATACAATTCATATGCAACTGAGTCCACAGTTGTTACAGATGAAAAGGACGCCATGAGTAAAGCTAACCTTGATGATGGTGAGGATGACGAATCCGACTTTAATGTTCACTATGGGCCTGCGCCAACTGGACGTCAAGAGCGCAGAGGTGTGCGTAAGGCACAGATGACGAAGAAGGAAGTCCGCCTTATCAATGGAGAGCTTATCTTAGAATGCAAAATCCCAACAATCTTGCATAGCTTCCTTCCCCGTCGAGATGACCGTGAATTCACTCATATGAGATACACAGCTGTCACCTGTGACCCTGATGATTTTACGGTAAAGGGGTTTAAACTGCGACAAAACATTGGCAGCACAATGCGCGAAACTGAGTTGTTTGTCTGCGTGACCATGTACAACGAGAATGAAATCGATTTCACACGTACGATGCACGGTATCATGCGAAATATCTCACACTTCTGTTCCAGAACCAAATCACGAACATGGGGCAAGGACGGTTGGCAGAAAATTGTTGTGTGTATTATCGCGGATGGGAGACAAAAGGTGCATCCGCGGACATTGAACGCCCTTGCAGCCATGGGTGTTTATCAAGATGGAATTGCAAAGAACGTCGTCAATCAGAAACCGGTAAATGCACACGTGTATGAATACACTACTCAAGTGTCCTTAGATCCCGATCTTAAATTCAAGGGAGCAGAGAAGGGAATCATGCCTTGCCAGATCATCTTTTGTATGAAGGAACGAAATGAGAAGAAACTCAATTCTCACAGGTGGTTCTTCAATGCGTTCGGACGCGCTCTGAATCCCAACATCTGTATTCTGCTTGATGTCGGCACGAAACCCGAACCTACTGCACTTTATCATCTCTGGAAAGCCTTTGACCAAGACTCGAACGTCGCAGGAGCCGCTGGGGAGATTAAAGCGGGTAAGGGCAAGGGCTGCCTCGGTTTGTTCAACCCTCTCGTTGCATCCCAAAACTTCGAATACAAGATGTCGAATATCCTCGATAAGCCTCTCGAGTCTGTGTTTGGTTACATTACTGTGCTACCTGGTGCGTTGAGTGCATACCGATACCACGCACTGCAGAATGATAGTACTGGCCACGGACCCCTGAGTATGTACTTCAAGGGTGAGATGCTTCACGGAAAAAACGCGGATGTGTTCACTGCCAACATGTACCTGGCAGAAGATCGGATTCTGTGCTGGGAGTTGGTGGCCAAGCGAGAGGAGCAGTGGGTTTTGAAGTTTGTGAAAAGTGCTGTTGGGGAGACTGACGTTCCAGGTATGATTTGATTTTCCTTGATTGTGAGATATAGAGTCCTTTTTGGCTTGGGGTTAACTTGCATTTTCGGTGTAGATACTGTACCTGAGTTTATCTCGCAGAGAAGACGATGGCTTAACGGTGCCTTCTTTGCGGCTGTGTATTCCCTTATTCATTTCCGGCAAATTTGGCGGACAGACCACACAATTACAAGGAAGATCCTCCTTCACATCGAGTTTCTGTATCAATTTGTCTCCTTGGCTTTTACGTTCTTTTCTTTAGTGAGTAGCTAACACCTCCAGCAAAATACTCCCAGATCCTAGCGTTGATATTTCAGTGAATTAACAATAATTCTCGCTCATCTAGGCGAATTTCTATCTCACTTTTTATTTCATTGCTGGTGCCCTGTCAGACCCCACGGTGGACCCCTTTGGACATAATATTGGAAAATATATATTCGCAATACTAAGATATACCTGTGTGCTCCTTATTTGCCTACAATTCGTCTTGTCAATGGGAAATCGTCCTCAGGGGTATGTAACCTAGGTCCTTTCGAAACCTTTACCACCACTCCTGCTAACTAACACTTCACTTCTAGTGCCAAAAAAATGTTCCTCTCTGGCATGATCATCTACTGCATAATAATGATGTACACTGTCTTCTCCGCCTTATACATGGTTGTCATGCAGCTGAAAACGAGCAAAGAAATGATTAAAGATAGTCTGTCGCTGGGCAACAATACTTTCACCTACATCATCGTCTCCACACTTTCAACAGTCGGCCTCTACTTTTTTATGTCCTTCCTCTATCTTGACCCATGGCACATGTTCACCTCATCTATTCAATATTTTGCCCTGCTGCCCAGTTACATCTGTACGCTGCAAATCTATGCTTTCTGCAACACTCACGACGTTACCTGGGGCACCAAGGGTGATAACGTTATTCGCACTGACCTCGGCACAGCGCGTATTACCGGTTCTTCCACCGTCGAGTTGGAAATGCCATCGGAACAACTCGATATTGACAGCGGATACGACGAGTCGCTCCGCAATCTCCGCGACAGACTCGAAGTGCCCCCGCCAGAGCCATCCGAGGCGCAGATGCAGGAAGACTACTACCGCGCCGTGCGCACGTATATGGTGTCAGTCTGGTTTATAGCTAATGCGATCCTCGCCATGGCCGTGTCAGAGGCGTTCACTGAAAAGTCAGTGGGCAATAATGCCTATTTGGCCTTCGTTCTGTGGAGCGTGGCATCGTTGGCGGTTTTCAGAGCGGTAGGTTCGACAGCGTTTGCGATTCTCAATGTTGTTCATCGGGTTATGGAGGGGAAGATGAAGTTTGCCGCTGCTGGGGGCACAGGGTATGGGTACGGAAGTTACGTTGGTTCTTCGAGTGGTGGTGGTGGTGGGAGTTCGGGTGCTCGGTCCAGCGGGGCTGGGAGCTCTCTGGGTCTTTCCTCAGGTATGGGGGAGAAGGTTAGTGATTGGGCTAGTGAGACGGGGTGGGCGGTTAAAAGGACGGCGGGGAAATTGAGGTTTTGGAGGTAGAGTTTTTTTGTTTTTATGTCGGTACTTTTGAACTTCTTTTGTTTTAATGTATATTTGTTGTTTTCGTGGGTTTGGTGGTGATCATTTAGTTTTTGATTTGGTGGTCATGCTTGATGTTGATGAATAATTGTATGTACTGCTGGTCCTTATTTCTTCTTGCTTTGTTGGTTCTTACGATTCGTTATATTGTCTTGGAGTGTGGGACTTTTTCTCTTGTATTTTATCGCTGTGAATTGAGTAAGGTTCTCTTTTCTGTACCTAATATTAATGACTTAAAAGGGACACTTTCCGTGGTATTTTTGGTCTCGTCCTCATCAATTAACGTGCATAAAATATGGATTCAAGTTTCCGGGGTTAGAGCATAGGACTAGCATGGATGATTAGTAGTAATTTGAATGGGAAAAAGACTTTGCTTGTTGATTGTGTGAGTATATAGTCATATGCGATAGTAAAATTCTGAACAAGAGGAATAAAATTGGGTTAACTAATTGCTAACAACCCAAGTCTGCAAGGTAATTGTCCCAACACAAATCTTCTTTAAGATTCAAATAGAAATAGTCTCACAAATGACGGCACATATAACAACCAACTCTTTCCATCAGTTGATCTCAGCAACATGCAACATGCCTTAGACATATTTCTGTTTTCAGTGTCCACCATCGAACCCCCCTCTCCTCCCTCCCAAATTACCGCCAGCCCATTCAGCACTCCCCAGTACAGCTCATCCACAAGTGTGCTCGCCCTCTTATGTCACTATGCGCAATCCCGGCAAAGATCCGCGACAACTTTCATCTTTTTGATAGTGTTCGGACACTCCACGGTGTTTGCAAACTGGTCACAAGGCTCAACCTCCACAAACATTTGATGGCCGCAGAATCCTATGATAGTTGTGACCTGACACATGAGAGGTAGATTTCAGTAAAGAAATGTATATAGATAACCTTGAGTGGCGGGGATGACTCGAAGGTGTGTGTGGCTCGATATAAAGGCGATGGGAAGAGAGGTTTTTCTAGTTCCGTGAAGTATGTTATCATAAGCAGGGCAGCTGGGAGAGATAGATATGAAGAAGCAAAAAAAGGGCAACAACAAGGTATTCGCTTGGCCTGAAGATGGATAAGGTCCAGTTTTGTGTTTTCTTGAAGTTTTAATGAGATGCGCTGAGCTTGGAAAATCGAAATAGGCTGGAGCTGGATGGAGAATGAGGGAGATGATGTTTGTCGTAAAAAAGAAAATTGAGAGCGACGAGGAAATTATCGTAACTTTTTTTTGGTTTTTCTTTGGGTTTGAATTCATTGGAGGGAGGGAGTGATAAGGAAGGCATTGCAAACGGAGGGATTTGAATGTTAACTTATGATACATCGAAGGCTCCGCTCTGGTAGTTGCCCGAGTTGCTGAAAAATATCAACTCGTGTGTAGAAGTGTGAAAAGAGAGTTGCAGTGTCAAGGAGAAATAATGTACACTATTTAAAGAGAGTCAGAAACTAAGGGTATCCAAATTTGTCACAACGAACCTTACTTTCCCAAACCCAAAACTATATACATTCTGCTCTTCCACCATCCCAAACCTATAAACTATCCTCCCTCCATCGACTCCGCGCCTTATTCCACGCAGCTTTGTCCTCATCTCCAGCCTTCGCATCCATTCCAATACCCAATCCCCGCTCAACCCACTCCTTCCCTTCCATTTCAGCCAGCCGCGACAATGCCCGCGCAAACGCAAAGCGCTCCTCCTCGCCGTTGAATATGGAACTGGACTTTAGCGCAGACATGGACAGGCCTAGGTCATCCATAAGATGGCGCATAGAGTCAGAAAGGTTCTCAGGAACTTCTTTGTTGTCTTTTGATGGTTTATTTTCAAACATTGATTCTTGAAGTTCCTCGTTGGAGAGGAAGAGATTAGCAAGGGGAACGGCGGTGGTGAGGACGAGTTTTGCCTGTGGTGAATTGGTTAGACAATGATATATGGCAGAGGTGGCAAGACAAGGGACAAAACCAAAAAAGAGAGAAAGTACCCACCCGACTCTCATAAACTGCATCAATAAATGTAATAAACCTCCTCGCCAAATCGCGCTCCCTGATCGTCATCCCAGGTACATCCGTCACAATAAAGGCATCATAACTCCTCATCAGCTCAAGATAATCCGCTGCTCCGGTCGCCCTCCCAATCAACTGCTGGAACGTAAACCGTGCCGCCTTGCCACTTGCCAGAGGAACTTCCACATCCCGTCCCCACACTTGGTGCACTGCGGAGTGAGGAGGGTCATTGGAGAAATCGCCTAGGTACTCGAACCATTTGTCCGCGTGGTGGTCAGCTGGCATGCCGAGCGGGTGGTGGTAGACACCGGACGGCGGACGGGGGATTTTGCGGTAGTCAGTGGCAGAGTCAAGGTTCAGGACCGTTAGGGAGGTTTTTAGCAGGGCGATGCATGGGATGAAAGATTCACGTTGGATGCCGTTCTTGTACAGGTCATCTGGATGGCGGTTGGAGGTTGTGACGAGGATAACACCGTGGGACATGAGCGATTCGAGGAGTCTGGTTGACATTTTACGTTAGTTTTGGCAGATACAGATACGACATGGACGCGGGAGGGGAAAGAAACAGTAACATACCTTCTCAGAATCATCGCATCCGCCACGTCTGTGCACTGAAACTCATCGAAGCAAAGCACGCTAGCCCCCTGCGCGATATCGGCTGCGACAAAGGGCACAGCATCAAAATCATTCCCATGTTTCATTTTCATCGCATGAAGCTGCTTATGCACGTCCTGCATGAAGTTGTGGAAGTGGATGCGCTGCCGTGACGTGATATTTTCCGGCAGGGTGTCAAAGAAAAGGTCCATCAGCATGGTCTTGCCGCAACCAACGTCTCCAAACATGTATAGACCTTTTGGCAGATTGGGTGGGATCTGCGTGGTGGCTGCCCGCGGTGGGGTGCGGCTAAAAAGTGAACCAAGGAAAGAGGATCTTGGTTCCGGATTCTGGAGGGAGGAGATAATTGGATGGACTACGACTGGTGGTGTGTAGGAGCGGAGCATTTCGTGGAGGTCCTGAAGATGTTGGATGATGTCTATGTAAGAGACAATGTGAGCATAATCGCTTACACGGATTTGATGTTGCGCATTCTATGCATTTGAGAGAATCTATACGGAACAATACACTAAAGGGGGACTCAAATAAGACTAAGAATACAATACCTCTCTGATGAGCATCGTCCTTCAATCTTCCTGACTGTACTCGGGCCTCATACTCCTGCATCGGACCGAAAACTGGTTGTTGATCAACACCATCTGCCACGGATGTTACACGCACCTGCTCTATAACCTCAGCAACTCGTGGTGTACTACCTGAAATTGTCGCTACCAGCTGTTGCTGTTGCTGCTGCTGCTGCTGTTGTTGTTGTCCGGGGCCCCGTATTCCAATTCCGCTACTAAAGAGCCGCGATGTCGTTCTATAACGATAAACCCTTTCGTGCCCGCGTGCCAGACGACTCCTACAATCCACACAGGTAAGGCAATTCCAGCCCCCAACAAGCCCAGAAACTGTGGGAAGCCGAGAACACGGGGCTAGGATCGCATCAGCGATTCGGGTGGGATTGTGGGAACGTAGCGGGGTTCGCATTCTCGTTGTATTTCACCTCAGGGTTCTCTCCCCGCCTCAAAAGAATATTTGGATAATAAATGTACCCCAGGGTATATCCCGTTGCGATATTCGACAAACCGTAGATCGAATTCTAATAATAATACGCCTAACCCATGAGAAATTCCTGACCCGTGCGCCCGAAAATGCGATTGGGTATATTCTGCCACAGCAATCGAAAAAGACCTATACTCGTCGCAGCTCCCCGGTTTCCCAGTTCACCAGCGCCCATGAAGATGTGTACAAAGAGACGACAGTTAACCGCCAACAAGTGACAATCAAATGAGAGCAATTAGTAGGTCAAAGGCGGAGGACAATGGGAAAATAGTGGACGAGTCCAGCACTTGGTGTGTGAGTTCCGAGCCGAGAGAGGAGGAAATGCAGAAAATACAGAAAATGTTTAACTACCATGCTATGCAACAGGAGAGAAAGAAGAAGTAAATGGATAGAACCGGCTGACAGGAGTGAGCGACAGACACCGGAGTCTGCCAGAGAGATGCGCAAGTGACTGTGTGAAGTTCAGGAGTTGAAGTTGAAGTTCAAGTTGAGGATTGTCACGGGATCTCGGAGTCTGTTTGTGGTTAGGGCGGAAGGTTAAAGGGTTTTTGCTTGTGCCGAGGCTTGTGTTTTGTGCCTGTAGGAGATAGGTAAGAATGAGATCATACTCCGTAGATGCAAGGACATACAGGTAACAGGGGGGCAAAAATAGGAGAATAAATTGCCTGTTAATTTACTAGTATGGAGTAGATAGTCAACTAAAATAACTTAACTAACTAATTGGCGAAAAAGTCCTTGCAGCGCTTATAGAACAAATGTAGGAGTAACTTCAGAAACACGGTTGGGGAGGACAAGTATGCGGACAAAGTGAATACTAGAAAGATGATATTGGAGAAGAAGTGACAGCCGAAATAGAAGGCGATATATGTTTTATAAAAAAAAGCTAAAGTTGAAAACGAAAGGATATCCAGCAAAAGAAAAGAAGCAAAATGAAAAAGGTTAAGACTCACAAATACTAGTTGAAATGCAGATTACGATTGAAACTGAGAACGTGATTGGGACTGTGGGAGAGGATAAATGTTTCAATTGAACCAAAGGAAGGATTAGAGTGTCATTTTCTTTTGTTGCTAATAGAGAAGGCGGGCGGGATATAAAAAAAAGGTAGCATATGAAAATCGAAGCGGAAGAGTTGATAGGGAAATGAAAAGAAGAACAAAACAAAATGGGTACTTACATAACAGAAATAGAAAATGTACGGAAATGATTAAACCAGGAACAACAGATTCGTGTAGCAACAATGTAGGAAGAAAGAAGCGGAAGGAAAAAATGGAGGGCTGAGTCAGGGGAGTTAGTCCGCGAGGAGGGTT